ATGGTCAGATTTGCACTTAAGGAAAATCACTTTGGCACCTGTGTAAGATGGACTAGAATGGGGAGAGACTTGAGCCAGGGAGACCAGTTAGGAGGCAATTGCAATAATTTAGGTGAGAGATAAGGGCCTGAACTAGGGTGGTAGCTGTGTAAGTAAAAAGAAGGGGTCTGTGTGAGAAATATAACAACTGATTAGATCTGTGGAGTGAAGGGCCACGGATAATGCCAAAGTTCTGAACTTGGGAGACTGGAAGAATGAAACAGGGGAGTTTCAAAGAGGGTAAATTTGAGGGGAAAGACAGTGAATTGTGTTGTGGACTTGCTAAGTTTGAGATGTCTTTGGAACATTAGCTTGAAATGTTTTCTAGGCAATGAAGGACTGAAGTTGAAGGGACTGAGGCTGGATGTATCAATTTGGAAGATATCGCCATAGAGATGATAGTTAAACATATGGGAAAGAATGAGATCACTGAGTGAGAGTCTTTGGGGAATACTCACTTATTGGGGATGTGATAAAGATGATGAGCCAGCAAAGGCAACCGAGAAGGTGTGATTAGACAGGTAGGAAGGTAAACGGGATAGGTTAATTATCACTAAAACCCAGAGAGGGGAGAGACTATCCAGAAAAGGGTGGTCAAACATAGCAAAAAAAAAAAATGCAGATGACAAAGAGACAACTTCTTGTTGACTGTCCAAGAGCTTTTGGTTCAATAGAGGCAAGTATAGCCCAAAAAACTCTCCACCACCAATGGATCTCCCATGTGTATAACTAGATTATCCATGAGTCAGTGAGAAAGGGAAACAGAGGGAGAACTTACTGATTTTTAAGAGCAAACAAGGCATTAAGCACTACCCTTCCATTTTCCCTGAGTAATATTTTTTGGCTCTAACAAATGCAAGTCAGTGGGAAGGAGGTCTGGGGGCTCTTCTAGCCCACTTGAAAGATTCACTTAGCAAAGCACAATTGCTAAAAGACAGTTACTCTTTTAGGAATTCCAGGTTTTTTAATAGAATGGCAATCATTTCATGTGACCCTTTACAAATTCACAAAGTTCTTCCTTCACAATAATGCTATAGGACATGTAGTATGAGTACCATTAGTTCATACGTTTCTTTTTGCTCATGGTGTTTGCTTATTTCCTGGCCTTTAAAGAAATTGAGCTCTCCTGCTGGGGAGCAGAGGGCACTGACCCAAGCTTCTTGTGTTAGGAGCCTAGGGCCTGGTCATTGGTTTTGTGTGCTAAGGCCTCCGATGCTGGCAGTTGGAGGCTGTAGGGTTCTGGCAGCTTACCTGGTGTCGGGCTAGAATCAGCAACACTGGAACTCTAGGGGTAAGATTGGGTAGTCTGGCCCCTGGAGGTTGCCTGCTCTCCCAGGCCTTTCCTTCCTTTTGCTTTCTTCAGCTCCTTTCAGATGGATGTTGCAGGATTCTTATCCACCTGGGGCCCCTTGGAGTGCTGCTTCCCTTATTTTTGCTAAGGCACTGGGGGACCCAGTTGCTGTAGAATGCCGAGGCACCTGGAGGTTTTCTGAGCTGGTTTCCACCAGTTCCCCCGCCCTCAGTGAGGCACTCAGGGGTCCAGGTGTTGGGGTTTGCCTGCCCCACCACCTGGGTTTCAGGATCTCCTCCTGGTATGCTGAGGTGGGGCTTTCCGCTAGCTTGCTGGGATGCCTCCTGTTCCATACTGCTCACCTCCCCCAGGGCAAGAGGGACCTTTCCCATTAATCCCTCAAGCTACCTTGGCTATGGGACTGCCATACCCTGTCTTTCTTCTGGTTCAGCTGTTCCAGGGTTTTTCCTGGGGCTATATTTTCTGGGCTTTCAGAGGTTAATAAGGGAGGATAAGAGCAACTTACTTCTTACTCTGCGATCTTGGCTCCTGGAAGCGGAAGTCATGAGTACCATTAGTTACATTTTCCTAAGAATGCTGTTTTCGCTGAAGGCTAGCACATGAAAATTGTGTTTGTTGGGCCTTAAATATAGTGAACTTCAGCCTCTACCATTGTCACTTGGCACCTTCTCTCTAGCTTTTAGTCCCCAAGAGTTGCCTAGAGCACTGAGAGGTCACATGTCATGTGACCAGAAGCACACAGCCTGGACGTGTGCAAGAGACCTGAGGAGGTCATCTGTCTCTATACTGGGCCATGCTGCTTCTCTGGCTCTTCCATAGCTGAAATGATTATTATATTTCAACTAGAGTCAGCATTAATGAAATAAAGGACTGTGTTAGATTCAAAGATAATAAACAACACACTCTTGCCTTCAAGCTCACAATGTAATTGGAGGTGGGGAAGTGAGATGTACACATAAGTATACTAGAAGGTAAAATGTGATCAGGGCAAAGGGTAGATCCAGACAAAGTGCTCTGAGAAGGTGGCACCTGAACTGGCCTCTCAGGAAGAGAAGGATTTCAATAGGCAGTCCTGTAGAGGGAACGTGTGCATGGGAGATAGCAGTGTGCAAATGCATGGAGATGGGAGAGTTCCAGATGAGCTTGGGAAACAGCCTCTAAGTTTACTTGGAATATAGAGCACATGAAGGGGAAGAGGATGAAGTAGATCTGGAAAGGGACATTGGAGCCAGAGGGCCTTCAATTCAGCCTGAGGACTTTGATTCTGTAGACACTAGGGAGCCACTTGAAGGGTTCAACCCTTTGGTGGCATAACATCAGAGGTCCAGATAACTACAGAGAAGTAACAGAAGCAGGGTATGCCTTAAGCACAGGTCAGCATTTGATGCTTGCCCCAGGCATTTGATGTCCAATGCAGATTCCAGATGAAAATGGGATTCTTTATATGCGATGAGGGCCTCCACTTACTCCTGTTTGCTGGTGGAGTCAAGTTCTGGAATATTAACAAGTCTAAATGAATTCCATGATAATTCACAAATTTGGCTTGTTAAGTGGATGAAAAATGCCTCCTGTCCAGACTTATTACCTGCAGTCCATGGAATTAGTCCATCAGTGGATATGTAGCTTGGAAAGACCCTGTAGTTGGGGATTGAGCTGAATATTGAATTGACTGGGCAGAGCAGAAATGGCAGGATGACATCTGGGAATAGCCCAGTACACTGGGTGATTTCTCACTCCCTCCTCTGCCAAGATGCTTCTCCTTGAAACAAAATCCCATCTTTTTTAACACTAGAGTCCTTTAAAAAAACAAAATATTTTCTTGTTGCTTTTTTGGCATGCCATAACTTCCTAAATACTCCTCCTCCCTGCTTATAACAAAGAAGCCAAACCAAGCCAGTATTTTAGCTGTTGCTGACCACATATGCCTCATTCCACACCTGTAGCCCACCACTTCTCTAGCAAGCTTTAATGCCAGTGCTTTTGAATCATTCCTGATCATTGCATCAGTTAGAATTCTGATGCCTTTCCATGGTACCTTCCTTCACATGATTTCAGTTGTTGTCTTGGTTCTGCTTACTTTATTCCATAGCATTCACCCACTACTGGTATTGTTCTGGTGATGCTATATGACTGCAAGTCATCCAAAGAGTAGAAAATGCAGAGCAACTTGCAAATGGACTATAGAATATTGCAAACCTTAAATCATTTATCCACATGAAGTGGCATAAAAGTTATCCCCTACAAGGTGTGTGACCAGAAAAGTTCAGTCAGTTCTATAGTTTGAACATAGATGATAACCAATGCACAGCCATGGTGATATACTAGGATCGGCATAAATGTCATGAGATCATCAGTTTGGATCTAGAAGGAACCTTAGAAGTGATGGAGTCTGGCTCCCTCATTTTACAGATAAGGAAATTGAGGTACAGAGTTTGAGGAAAGTTCCCAGAACATTGGTTGGACCTCCTGAAGAGGATTTTATGGGAGGACATTCACAAGTTTCATGAGATGATAAGGGATGAATGACTTGCAATCTATAGTCTTTGGGGTGCCTACATCCATAAAATTGTATTGGAAGAAATAATCATAAGTTCCATGATGGTAGAGACTGTGCCTTATCTAAGCTGTATATATCTCTCTCTCAGGAGATATCCTATACACACTGAGAGCTTAACAAATCTTTTTTTTGAGTTGAACTGAGGGTTCACTCTTCCTAAGAGTCTCCAGGCAGTCACACTGCCAGAGACAGACAGGAGTATCTCTCTTAACACTGTCTTCCCTGAATCAAATCCCTGGGATTTTCCAAGTAGATGATCATGTCATCTACAAGTAGAAGACATCTTGCTTCCCTTTTGCTGATGTGCATGTATGGCTTTGTTTTCTTTCTCTTGTCTTATTGCTGTCACTGGCATTTGTAGGATGATATCAAGAGTAGTAGGAAGAAGGGTCCATGTTTGCTTTACTCTTGCCTTTATTTGAAAGGCTTCTAATAAAATCTCCATTTGCAAACAATGCTAGCTTTGGATTTGGGATATTTTATTGTTTTACAAAAAGACCCTTCCAGGTTCCTCCTATTGGTTTTAATTTTTACTTACAACACCACTAATGTGAAAATATGTTTAATAGGAATGTAAATGTATAGCCTATATCAGGTGGCGCTCCATCTTGGGGAGGGTGGTTTGGAGGAAAGCGGAGAAAAATTCTAAACTCAAAAGCACATGGAAGTGATTATTGATAAATCAAAATAAATTAACAGAATTTTTTCAAAATAACCAAAAAGAAATTTTTTTAATACGTTGGGAAAAAAAAAAAAGAGAAAGACCCTTCCAGGGGCAGCTAGGTGGCGAAGTGGATAGAACACCGGCCCTGGAGTCAGGAGAACCTGAATTCAAATATGGCCTCAGACATATAATACTTACTAGCTGTGTTACTCTGGGCAAGTCACTTAACCCCAGTTGCCTCAGCTAAAAAAAAAACCCTTCTAAGCCAATGCTTTTTAGGGTTTTTAATATAAATGAGTACTTTTGGTATGACCATGTGTGTTTTGTTGTTTATGTGATTATATAGCATTGTTTCCTAATGTTGAATTGTCCTTGAATTTCTGGTCTAGGGAGCAGGGCCTGAGTCTGAACCTTGACCCTCTCCACAGGAGCCAGCATGACATCAGCACACAAAAGAACATCAGTGATTCCCTGCAGGATGAGCAGGGCTTCTTGCAGAAGAAATATCCATTCTGGCCAACTGGAATGGCACCCGCTTTCTTGCTAAGACACTCAACAGGTGCTGCTAGGGCTGGTCAGGGCAGGTTGGTGATAGAGCTGAAGAGTGCCTGGGAGTCACCTAGTACTGGTCCTTATGTTCCCTCCCTCAGGCTTCTGATGTACCACATCTGAGATTGCCTGCCTGAGCTGAAGACACGTGTGATCGTGCTGACAGCCCAGTACCAGTCTGTGCTGCAGAGCTGTGGGCAGCCTGTTCAAGACCAGAATGCCACTCTGCTGCAGATCATCACCAAATTTGCCACTGAATACTGCAACACCATTGAAGGCACAGCAAAGAATATTGAGACCTCAGAACTGTAAGCTCAGGGAAAGGTTGGGGTTGCGGGGTTGGAGGGAATAATGATAATCTATCTAGCAAACTATTTCCTTCATACTTCATAGAAAATCCGAAATGGGGTCATTGAAGAGTCAGACATGTCAAATGACTAAACAACAAATATTTCATAGTCGGGGAGAAGAGTTGTTGGGGGGTTTTGACTTGGTTTTAGTTTGTCAGACCACTCTCTCCCAATGCAAGTTGGCACCTACTCAGCAGCTTCTAGTCTAGTGCTCAATGGGGTTTTCCCAAAAGCCTAAAAAAAAAAAACAATAAAAAAGGGGCAGTTAGGTGGCACAGTGGATAGAGCACTGGCCCTGAAGTCAGGAGGACCTGAGTTCAAATCTGGCCTTAGACCAAACACTTGACACTTACTAGCTGTGTGACCCTGGGCAAGTCACTTAACCCCAACTGCCTAAAAAAAAAAAAGCTCAAAAGCCCAAAAAAGCAATTAGTGGGTCAACAAGGATTTTATAATTAAATAGTTACTGTATGCCAGGCACTGTGGTAAACGCTCGGTAAACAAACAAAAAAGATGAAAAAAAAAAAGTCCCTGCCTTCAAAGAGCTCCTGTTCTGATTGGGGAGGGGAAGGAGAAATCTAGAAATAATTAGGCATGTACAAGGTGTGTATATAGAGTAGATGGAAGGTAAACCGAAAAGCAAGGCATTAGCAGCTAGGGGGACTGAGAAAGATCTTCTCAAGTGGTAGGATTTGAGTTGAGTCTTGAAGGAAGCCAGGGAAGGTTAAGACACAAGCCTTTCTCTCATCATGTCTGGGCATCATGTGATTCTTGTTGTTGTTCAATTGTGCCCGACTCTTTGTGACCCCATGGTCCATAGCACACCAATGCTGTCCATGGGGTTTTCTTGGCAAAGATACTGGAGTGATTGGATATTTCCTTCTCTAGGGGATTAAGGCAAACAGGGTGAAATGACTTGCTCAGGGTCAAATAACTAAGTATCTGAGGCCAGGTTTGAACTTGGGTCTTCCTGCCTCCAGGCACAGCGCTCTATTCACTGCAGTGCCACCTAGCTGCTTCCTGATGCCTCATGGAGCCCAGCAAATGTTAAGAGCTGGAAGAGCTCCTTAGAGAGCATCTAGGCCAACATACCAAGGCTCAGGCAGAGCAAACAACTTGCCTGAGATTTCCCAGTGAGTGATTGTAGAAGTAAGACCCAGAATCTTGACAGCCAATCTCTTGGCTGGTATTTTTTCTATTTCTCTATTTCTGTATCTGACTTTAGTCTGAGGCAAGGGTGATAGGGGATATCTAGGGATTGGGAATGGCCAGGGCCGACCACATCCCTGATGCCTAACCTTTGACTCCCTCCCAGCTGTGGTGGTGCTCGCATGTGGAAGATGAGACCTTTGGCCAGACTCTGGAATCCATTGATCCTCTGGCTGGACTAACCATGTTGGACATCTTGACAGCCATCCGAAATGTCACGGTAGCAGATCCCTCCTTCATAGCCACTTTCCCCATTTTCATCCATTCTTCCCTCACTTGATGCCTATAGGTGACCCTGCTTCTACTGATCTGTCTCACTGTTTGGGGGAAATAGCCCTTTAATCAGAGGTGTGTGGTCAGCCAAAAAAACCAAGGCATAGTGTTATGAAGAGATTTGCCCAGGTTACACAGTGAGTAAAAGCGGCTGATCAGGGATTTGGACTCAAGTCCTCTTGCTCCTCTGTGGCAGCTGTGTTGCTCTATTCAGACCCTCTCTCGGGACTCTTCTTTGAGAAGAGCCTTGACTGCTTGCATTGAATTCTTTTGAATGGCGTTTATGTGAGCAGACATTGGGCTTTTGGGGGATAGGGAAGAGAGACTGAATTCTTGGAAACAGGGAGGAGGGGAGTGTCAGCCTGGAGATTAGGAACCCTCTGGTGCTATGAATCATTTGGTGTGAACAATCCACCATTTATTAACTCCAAGCCAGGCAGGCGCTATGCTAGGCCCTGGGGATGAAAGGACAAAGAAGGAAACCAACTCTATTGTCAAGGACACCAGAAAGGAATGAAACTGGGGCCCCTTAACATGGCTCAAAAGAAGCTCTGGAAGAGAAATCTGCCAGTGAGCCAAGCCAAGGCTAACTCAGGGAATCCATGTGGAGCCGCTGGAGTTGCCATGGCTCACTGAGAGAAGTTACAGATTCTATTTATCATCTTTGTGTCATGTCTATCACCATAACCTAAATTCTGTAGGAGCAGGCAGAAATAATCTTTATAGAAGTAGCTCACATTTGTACAATAATAGAAGGTTTGCAAAGCGTTTATGGGAGTGGAGGGGAGTGTCACGCGGGGTTAGGGCTCACCAGTCTTGAAAGTTAAGTTTAGATGGAGTGGAAGGAGTGGATGACTCCCATAAGACAGGAGGTGGTAGTGATTGAATGACCTTCATGTGGAGCCTTGGCCTTCCAAGCTGTCCCCTATTAGAAGGGGGAGGAAGAGGAAAGGGATGACTCAGAGCTGGAAGTTTAAGGTCAGGTGAAAAAATTAGAGGTAAGTCTTCCCCCTCCCACCCCCATATTGCCAAGAGGGTGAGCCAGAAAGGGGAGGAACCAAGTTGAGCTCCTTGTCTGGTTTTGTCTGACTCCCACAGGCATTTAAGTATGCAAGAGACAGAAGCTGAAAAAGAGATGCTAAAGCCCCAATTCCCTGCCACCCCTAGGAGCCTATTCTGCCTTCACCACTCTCCACCTTCCCTGGCAGAGAATGGGCCTAGAGAGCCCCGAGCCTCCGCTGTGTAGAGCTGGTGCATGAGGAGCTTCAGAGAATCATCCAGCACTGTTCTACTTACAGTACCCAAGTCTGGGAACCTTCTTGTGTATACATGCACGCACTTGTGCACAGACACCCGTGCACATGCCTTCCCCAACGTCCAATAGCAAGCAAGGGGGAGAGCTAAGACAAGGAGCCAGGTGTCTTGACTCTGCTTGGAGAAGCTGGGGAATGGAGGGCAGAAGCAGCCTTCCTACCAGAGCCCAAGACTGATGAGCTCTGCCCTTTCCAGGAATTGCTGCGCTTTCCCAAGCTACATGAGGCCATTGTGGAGGTGGTGGCCAGCGTCTTGAGGAAGAGGTTACCAATAACCAATGAAATGGTAATGACCAAGGCAGCTCTGGGACACAGCTGCCCTGAGAGGGAAATGGCACCCACTCGGGCCAGCGCCCAGAGGACACACTGAGGGGAAAGCATCCAGCCTGCATGACCTGCTAATGCCCTGGGCAAGTCATTGGCAGGGGTGCTAATAGCCAGCTTGATTAGAGGATGAAATGAGAAGGGAGAAAGAAGGGATGGGGAAGGGCAGGATCTTGTGTAGAGGTTGAGCTGGGGGTTAAAGGAAAAAACCCACCTGAGCCTCTGCCCAAGATCATTTCCAGTGTAAGCCCCACTAATCCTGGCAAATACACTGCACCCAGCAAGTAATCAACTGAAGGAATACCCAGGAGGCCACACTCATCCTGGTTAAATCTGTGGTCACAGACCCAAAGCAGGAGTGTAGGTCCTTAGAAGGAGGCCAGATAGGACATGAGCAGGGAACCGTTTTCAAACCACAGAATAAGGTGATGAAAGACTGACAAAGAGAGGACTTGTAGGGGAATCCAGTCTTCACCAACTTGACTATAACTCCCCCCATCCCCAGCTACTCAAAATGACTTCTGCCTCTGTTTCCTCAGCCTGACAAATAGAAGGAGAGAAGGAGTGAGACAGGACAGGTAGGGTGACTTCACTACCTTTCCTTGCAGGTTCACAACCTCGTGGCCATTGAACTAGCCTACATCAACACCAAGCATCCAGATTTTGTTGCTATGACTCTTGTCTCAGCTTCCATGAATAGTAATAAGGTACTTGAATGAGGTCACCTAGATCTGGCCTCAACAAACCCTCGTCTATTCCCTGAACTTATTCCCACAGTCAAGAAGTATTTATGAGGCATCTGCTATGTGCCAGGCCCTGATTCTGTGGTACCAAAAGAACACATGCACACAATTGGCATGCTTGTTCTTGTGACATCATATAGATACAGCCCTTTCTTGGTGGAGGGGGTACCAAAGCTCTGATAAAAAGCGACCTCTGTGTTTAATAGGAATGTATATGTAGAGCCTATATCAGGGAATATTTTTGAGCCTCTGAAGAGGAGTTGGCCCCAAAGGGCGGCTGGGAGAGGGAGGGTCACTCTGCCTAATTTGCTTTGCTTTGGTTGGAGGTTGGTTATGGGATCCCCATACTTGGATAATTTGATGAAGCTCCTGACTCCTTCCCCCTTTGGTTGGTGTGTAAGGTTCTTCTTATATCCCACTTCTGAGACTTGACTGCTTTTCTGCACGCAAACTATAGTTCCCTGTTGCTTTAATTTACAGACAGACTAAAAAGCTTAGTAATTCTTCAGTTTGGAAAAACAGGCTGGGGAGGTGGGAGAGATGGTACAGTACACTATAGGAAGCCTGTGGATGCATAAAAGTGTTTGAAAGGGGAAATCACAGATTCGTTCACCAAACTCAATGCTAGAGCTAGAATAGAGGCCATTTTGTGGTAGTATCGTAGTCATTTGTTATGACTGATAACAATTAAAACTACATTTGTATTGATATCTTTTGTTTTACTTCACATTCATTTCTGATTATATCCCTACATATGCACAATTGCATACACGCAGATGCACACATGACTTCCCTGGTAACAGATTAAAAATGAGGAAAAAAGTCTAACCAACTGGCCATATATGGTGACAGTTCATGTGAACATTTTACATCCATAGACCCTCAGCTCTCCAAGAGAAGGAAAGTGCATTTTCTCAACTCCTTCAGGATAAGTCTTTGTTGTTGTTCAGTCTTTTTCATTCATGTCTGACTCTTCATGAGCACATTTGGGGTTTTCTTGGCAAAGATATTTGGAGTAGTTTACCATTTCCTTCTCCAGCTAATTTTACAGATGAGGAAACTGAGGCAAACAGAGTTACTTGACTTGCCCAGGGTCACACAGCTAGTAAGTGTCTGAGGCCAGATTTGAACTCTGGAAGAGGAGTCTTCCTGACTCCAGGCCCAGTGCTCCATCTACTGTGCCACCTAGCTGCCTTAAAAATATATTTTTTTGTTATTGTTCAACAGTCTTGCTCATTGTAATTATACAGTATTCAGGTTCATGACATTGTTTTCCTGTTTGTACATACTTTGCTCTCCATCAGTTCACATAAGGCTCTGAATTCTTTGTATTCATCTTTTCTTCCAGGGCATCCTATTACATTAATATGACACTAGGGATTTAGCCATTCTGCAGTCATTGGGCACCAACTTTAGCTCTAGTTCTTTGCTACCACAAAATGTGCTGCTATGAACATTTTGGTATATGTGGGACTTTTTCTTTGAACTCCTTGGGAATCTAGCACTAGTATCTTCCAGTCCATGATTCCAGAATACTTGGAACAATTCATAGCTGCACCAACAGTGGATTAGTACGTAGTATGCCTGTCTTCCCACAAGTCTTTGAATTTTGATATTCCCATCTTTGCCAGTTTGCTGAATGTGAGTAGAAACCTCAGTTGTTTGGATTTGCATCTTACTATCAGTGATTTGGACATACCATGTGTGTTGTTCAGTCATTTCAGTTGTGTGTGACTCTTTTTTTTTTTTCAGTGAGGCAGTTGGGGTGAAGTGACTTGCCCAGAGTCACACAGCTAGGAAGTTTTATGTGTCTGAGGCCGGATTTGAACTCAGGTCCTCCTGACTTTAGGACCGGTGCTCTATCCACTGCACTACCTAGCTGCCCCCTGTGTGTGACTCTTCACGGCCCTATTTGGGGTTTTCTTGGCAGAGATACTGGAGTGGTTTGCCATTTCCTTCTCCAGCTCATTTTACAGATGAGGAGACTGAGGCAAACAGGGCTAAGTGACTTGCCCAGGGTCACCCACCTAATAAGTGTCTGAGACTCAGGAAGATGAGTCTTCTTGACTTCAAGCCCAGTGCTCTATTCCCTGCTGTACCACCTAGCTGCCTTGTTTATCTTGACCATCAGATGTTTATCAGAGGCAATTGATATAAAGAGTTTTTTTCCCAGTCTAGTTTCCCTTATTCTAGCTGTATTTAAGTAGAGCAGGGGTTCTTAACTTGAGGTCTGTGAACTTTGTTTTTTAAAAACATTTTGATAGCTTTATTCGGTGTAATTTGTTTCCTTTTTAATCCTATGTATTTTATTTTATGCCCCTAAAAAAATCCTGAGAAGGGATCCCTCCTGTTCTCCAGCCTGCCTTCCTGTGTGCCAGACGGTCCATGACAGAAAATAGGTTTAAGAGCCCCCGAAGTCAAACGTCTGTGGAGCTTCCCAGAGGTGGTGTCAGATGCTGACCTAAACTGTTGATTTTCTCTTTTGCTAAACTGCTTTTGAGTTTTCCCAGTAGTACTTGTCAAATAAGGCGTCCTTTCCAAAGTCATTTAGATCCTGAGTTTCTGTTGATTTTGAGCATTTCTGATTCCTGCTTGTCTGTTGGGTTCCTTTGATTTACTTTTCTATTTGAAAATAGCACCACCTCATTTGGATGATGGCTTGTTTAGAGGATCATGGGAAGTATGCAGATGCTATGTTCCTTTCATTCCTGTTCTTTGTAGTGTTTGCCTGGAGATTCTAGGCTTTGTAGCCATCCAGTTGAATTATATGACTATTTTGCATAGCTCTATAAAATAACTGGTTAGTAGTTTGGTATAGAATTGAATGTGTAAATTAACCTAGATGGTGCCACAGCACAACCATGAGCGATAAATAGGCCTTCCTCTAATCATTTGTTTCCCTTCATATTTTTAGAAGTGTTTTGTAATTGTATTTTTGTTCAATGTGGATTTTGGACTAAAACTTTGGGGGGAGAAGCTATTCAGCATAGAAATAGCCATACCGTCTTTTCAGCCCCTCCTTTCTGTGTCCTCTGCCATTACCTTTGTCATTCACACAAGCATATCCAACCCAGTAAGGTCCCTAGATGCCTCATCATTGAATGGAGGTAGCCACCCTAGCTTCTTGAAGGTTGCCCCCTGGGATCAAATGCTCTGGCAAGCCCTACCAAGCTGCACTAGCTTCAAGTGTGGGCCCAGTGATAGACAATGTGACAGTTGCCTTGAGGACCAGCCTAGCTTAATTCAGAGAGGAGGTCATTCCCAGGGGGCCTGTGGTTTTTGACCACAACAACTGTTGAAGAGTTAGAGAGAGATAATGATCTACATCAGGGAAGACAAAACTCCAGGCTCTGGAAATATAGCAGTCAGTTCACATGAATGTGTCTGGCCCTGGGATTCTATCCTCCTGGTAAGGAATCTTATACTGATCAGTTCTTACTCTGTGAATTATAGTCTAACAGTTTCTTAGGTTGCCCAAGTTAATGACTTGTTCAGGGTCATACATCTAGAATGTGTCAGAGGGAGGATTGAAGGCCAGGTCTTCCTAGCCCCAAGGCAGCTCTCTAGCCACTGTGCCTTGGCTGCCTCTGATTAAATAAATGTCTGTGTATGCACATGTAAGTTTATGTATGTATCCAGGTGTTTATACGGACACCTATATCAGTTTTACGTAGTATATATCCATGTATATACTGAGACAACAGGTTTGACCTTTTTGGAAATCTTCAAGCAAAAGCTGGATGAATGAATGAATGAATGAATGGCTATTTATTGGGTACATTGTGAAAAGGGTTCTTTTTTAAAAGTTTTTGTAATTCAGTTTTGCTTTCAGGTCCAAATTCTCTCCCTCCCACCTCCCCTTCACCCCATTGAGAAAGCAAGGAGAGAAAAAAAAAACCATTACAGACATTACAGTTAAGGAAAACAAGTTCCTTCATTAGCCATGTCCATATACATATAAATATGCATGTATATTTTGTATATAAGGTGCAAGTGTGTGTATACACACACACACACACACACACACACACAATCTGCTGAGTTCATCAGTTCTCTATCTGGAGGTGGGCAGCATGTTTCATCATGAGTCCTTTCGATTTGTGAGGGGTCATTCAGAGTTACTGTGTCTTTCACAGTTGATTATCTTTACAATATTGCTGTGACTGTATAAAGTGTTCTCCTGGTTCTGCTCACTTCGCTTTGTACCAGTTCATACAGGTCTTTCCAAGTTTTCTGAAATCGTTTCTTATAGCATAATAATATTCCATCACAATCATATATTGTAACTTGTTCAGCAGTTCCCCAATTGATGGGCATCTCCTCAGTTTCCAATTCTTTGGTACCACAGAAAGAGCTGCTTTAAATATTTTTGTCCATATGAGTCCTTTCCCTCTTTCTTTGATCTCTTTGGGGTAGAGACCTGGTAGTGGTATTATTGGGTCAAAGGGTATGAACAGTTTTATAGCCTTTTGGCCATAGTTTGTGGAAGAGAATCTTTTTCAAGCCACCAAGACCCCATCCAATACTGAAATAATATGATCTTTTGATTCTGTCTTCTTCACTATATGTGGTTTCAGATAAGTCCCTGTTTATTTTCCTTAATTGTCATTGATTCATGGCACTTAAGTATGCCCTATTGGTCGTGGTCTCTGGTTGGTCAGCCATTACCAAATGGTTGGACATGTCAGATATTTCCAATTCTTTGCAACTACAAACAAGCCACTGTAAATAATTTATTGGACTGGAGACTATTTTCTTTTTGAAGATATTCTTTGGGCGTATTCTCAGTCATGGAATGTCTTAGATCTAAGAAGATGATTTGGTTTTTGGACTGTCCTGTATTCTGCCCAGTTCAAGGTTAATTTGAAAGAAATCAAGTCATCTAACTGCACATGTACAACTTATATTGAGTTGCTTGCCTTTTCAGTGAGGGTGGGTGGGGAGGAAGGAAGAGAGAAAATTTGAAACCTAAAGTTTTAAAAACATGTTTAAAAAAAATGTTTTCACATGCTACTGGGAAATAAGAAATACAGGAAATGGGGTACAGAAGTCTATCCTGCCCTACAGGAAAATAGAAGGGGAAGGGGATGAGAGAAGGGGAGAGAGATAGAAGAGAGGGCAGACTAGGGAAAAGGATATTCAGAATGCATGCCATCTTGGGGTGAGAGGAGGGGGGAGATGGGGTATAAATTTGGAATTCAAAAGCTTGTGGGAGTGAATGTTGAAAGCTAAAAATAAATAAATTTATATTAAAAAAAAAAAGAAATCAAGTCATCTTACCTCTTTTGGAGGTGAGAAATAACCATATGGGCTATACCCAAGAGGGAGCATTAATTAAGAATTATGTGTAAGTTCAAAAAAGAATTTGAGAAATCTCAGATTGGGAGACTATGTGGGGAGGGGGATGTCTGCACTGTCTTGTAATGATGGTATAAGAAAGAGCCATGACAGCCTTCCCAGAATTCTAAGCTGAGGAGCTCACAGGACCACTGTTGGGGTGGAGAGGGGCTCTCTTAAGTGTGGGAAGGGTTAGTAGATTATTCTAACCTGCAAGGCTATAGAAAGGGCTGGTTTGTGAACCTGAAGAAGAATGAAGAGAGTTGTTGCCTAATGGGTTTTCCCCCAGGTACATGAGGTAGGCATTTGTCATGTCCCTGCCTCACCCATTGTTTTAGAGCTTCCATCAGGCTTATGAAATAAGGTTTCACCATGTGCCTGTGATATGCTGCCCCTCCTGGCACTGGGCATCTTAAATATCACCATCCTGTCCTTTCCCTCCCCTCCACCCTGGACAGAGTGACACCTGCCAGCCGAATGGTTCTAGGTGCAGGAAGAGTGAGAAAGTGGGGGATGAAACTGTTCCCGAGGAAAAGGAGATTCCCAGATCATCTCAGTTATGCGTCCTCCCTAACACCAGCCGAACACATCCCATCAACATGTTAGATGCGGTGAGTGGCATTTGGTTTCAGCTGGGACATGGGATGGTGGGCCTCACTTCTCTGGGGGTGGAAAGATCTGTCGGGGTTGAAATTCATTTCTACCATATGTGACTGAATAGCTCAGGGTCTTAAACTATAGGGCTGATGAGACCCAGGTCATAGGGTTCCATTCCTCCAGTAGTTACTCAGTTTTATTCTGTCCCATGGCCTCAGACTGATCGTTTGTGAGAGAGAAGCCCAGATGGAAAGGGTTCAGAATTCCCTGCTGGCCTTGGGACTCTTTTCCCAGTTCTGTAGCTTGGAACAGACACAGCTAGCACCATGCTTTCCTGGCTGATGTGGGCAATTTTAGAGCATAGAATATTTTCCAAAGGATTTTTTTTTTAACTACAAAGCTAAAAGGGAAGGGGAAATGAGAGTTTACAGGAATGGCTACTCAGAATCTCTCATTCATCTTGTCCACTCGTGGTAGCAGTTGCCTTTTAAATGAGTAATTTTATGATGATAACCCACACACACACTCACAGAACTAGCCAATAAGGTTTGCTGCAGAATTTGCCACCAACAGAGGTCTTGGGATGTGTGGAGATGGAAGGGGCTGTTCTTTGGCTCCTCTGTGTCTTCCAAGTGTCTGGGCTGCTTTTTGAAGCCTGTGGTCTTAGGCCGGGCTAGAGGGCTGGCTGTTCCCAGATGGCCAGTGAGGGTTGCGGCACCAAAGAGAGCTTACTAGCTTTGCTTTTTTATACAGAAAGGGTCCCATCTTAGTAATGTTTCAGTTTTCCATTTCCTGGGAGTTCTAGGGCACTGATTGGCTAGACAGAATAGCTAGTATACTAGCTTTTTTAGTATAGGCTTTTGGGTAAGATAATACATATGAACGCTAACCTAGATTCTGTGAAGAGGTTTTTATAGGGGAGATAAACTTCCTAACAATCCTATTAAAGCCAAAGAGCCTCAATTTATCACTAGAGCTATATATGAAGGTGTGCATATATATGTTTTCTAATAAATTATATCAATTTGATTAGTCACAAAGGAAAGGTGACACTTGCATCTATAAAAATTTTTAATTGTGACTCTATCCTTCTGTACATTATGAAAAAAGATCATAGCATCTACAAAGTAGACATTTTGGAAGCAAGAAGGGTGGAGAAGGGTGGAGAAGAAAGAGAGCTGAACAACTTGAAATCACAGCTCTGCCACTTACTGCCTGTGCGACATCTTATAAATGCATTGCAGTAGTCATTATCGTAGCTGAGACCACTTCAGAAAGAATCCAAATACAGAAGTTCCAAAATCAAGCACAAATTTTTTTTTATCATAAACTTTGCTAAAGTCTAGCCCCAAAGGGCTGAACTCCCATACCTTAGGGTTCCTATTCCTTGCCTCTAACTTATCTAGGACACCAGCTTTACTTGGAGTTGCCTCTGGTAACAGAAGCAGAGCTCACTGCTCTTGAGCTTTCAAAGCCTACGTACTGTTTGGGGGCTGCCCACAAAGGTACCTGTTTCCTTTCAGGAGGGGGAGCAGAACAAAATGACAGTATTCCTGAGTTGGGGCTCGGTGTACCAATTCAGCTTCCTAGCTCATCCCCTTCCATGGGGTCTCTGACTCATCACTCACATAGACCTTGGGAACCATCTGCCAGAATCCCATGAATGCTAGTTGTCAGGATCAAAATCCCCCATCAAGCATACTGGCCTTATTAATAAAATGATTAAATTACTCAGAAAAAACAGTCTACATCCAGCACTAATAATAATAGACACCAGTCCCAGTAGGGATCCAGGAGACTGCTAATACATTTTTACTAGACATTCCTAACCCTGGTCAGGGCAAAAGATTTTTTTTTTTTGAGAAAGGGAAATAAGCCAGTTTACTGACCTTCTCAGTAGATCCTGGAATTCTAGGATCTGCCCTTTGTTGAGGTCATCACAAGTGACTTTGTGTATCCAGGAATACCATTTTGAAAGGTCACCCAGTAGTGGCTGGGCTATAGAGAATCTCTTCAAGCTGACCGGGCTCCCAGCTAATACCATTAATTACAGTTAGGAAAAAGCATTCTAGGCAGTAGAATATTCATATACACTCTACAAGGAATGTGGAATCACTTGGGAAACTCAGGCATTAGGAGGTTGTAAGACCACAGCCAAAGGTGGCCTTGTAGGCTCGTTTATCCTGACTCTGATAGAAATGAATCTCTGATCTACTAGAGAGCACACCTTTTAAAAATACTTACTTTTAAAAATACCATATGGACCTTCTTTCTGTCCTGAAAATGACCCAACAAGGTCACTAGATTTGACAACCAAAAGCTCATTGGTAACTTCAGAGAAAGCAGTTTCAGTTAAATGATGATGTCAGAAGCCAGACTGTAGAATTGAGAATGAGAGGAAAGCAAGTGGAGGCATCTTGATTGTACATGGCCTTCTCAAAGACTTTAGCAGAAAAGAGGAGGAGAGATATGGGGGTGATATCGGGGATAGATCAAGTGAAGGATTTTGAGGATGGGAGGATGTTTGTAGGTGACAGGAAAGTGGTTGGTAGACAGGGAGAGACTGACAAATGAGTAAGTGGGGATGATAGAGGAACCAGTCTATGGGAGAAGACTGGACAGGATGGGATGGGATGACTTCTACATGGAGAGGAGTTTGCCTTGCCAAGAAGGGCCACCTCTTCATGTGAGACAAGTGAAAGAGAAGATGATCACAAAAGGCATCTGAGTGATGAGAGAAGAGAGGGCTCAGAGGATGATTGCAATTTTTACATTGAAATATCAGGAAAGGTTCTCAGCTGAGAGGATGGGAAGAGAGTCATGGGAGGTTTGAGGAGGGATGAAAAAGTTTGGAAATGCTGCTGTGGTGAGTGAGATAGTGAAGAAGTAAAAGGATTGCCTTGATGTAGTGAGGGCCCAGTTGAACTTATGTAGCATAAACTTATAATGGACCCTGCTAACAGTTTCATGATTTTTTTCTGGCTTCATTCAGCATCATTTGAGTAGAAGTAAAAGCATCAGATGATGGGAGTAATCCAAGGCTGAGACTTGTCAGGGCAAGATCAATGATATGGTAAAAGGGCCAGAGGCTCAAGAAAAGAGGACAGTGTCAAGTTGAATTGCTTCACCAGGGGGTCAGGATGGGGAAGGGACACAAGTTTAACCAGTGCAGGAGTGATGACCTAGGAAAGAACTGAGGGGTGGAGGGACTGAAGATCATGGTGAGGATAGAGAATATGGTTTGGGGTTGCAAAGCAGAGGGAGAGGTTGGAATGACAAGAGATTGTGACAGATAAAGGAATTTCAAAGTTCGTAAACATGGAAATAGAGTATTTGTATGTGATGGCAAGATCTAATATAGCTCAGGTGGTGCAAGAGCTAAGTTGAGAAATTGAGAGGTAAAGGTATTTGAGGGAGCATATATATGTGTGTGTATATATATATATACTCCCTCAAATACCTTAACCTAAGGGTTAACCCTAACCCTAACCTTAATCTTTCTAACCCTAGGGTTATACATATATGTATATGTGTGTGTGTATATGTGTGTGTGTGTGTATATGTGTGTGTATGTATATGTATATGTATATGTATATGTATATGTATATGTATATGTATATGTATATGTATATGTATATGTATATGTATATGTATATGTATATGTATATGTATATAGATGAGAGTAGTGTGAAATAAGGCTGGGAAGGTGGGTTGGAACTAGTTGGTAGAAGACCATGCATGCCAGGATAAGGCATTTGCATTTTGTCCTTTGTAGGCAACTGGAAGTCACCGAAGGTTTTGGAATGTGATCATGATCTAATTGGACCTACACATTAGGAAAATTGCTTTGATATTAGTGTGAAGGAGGAAGACTGCTTCCTGGCAGTAAGACTAGTTAGGACTATTCCAATGCTCTAGGCAAGAAGTTAGTGAATCCTTAAATTCTGGTGGTTGGCAGCATGAGTAGAGTAGAGGATGGCAAGAGATACTGCCAAGGTGACATTGACAAGGGTGAGAAACTGATCAGGGGTGATGGAGAAAGGGAAGTGCCAGAGGACTCTAAAGTCCAAACCTGGATGACCAAAAGACAGATTGGGAAGTTGGGATGATGGAGTGGAGATATGGTCTGATAGGTTTGTTTAAAAAAAAAAAAAGCCAAGGGTTGGCCCTGTCATCCACCCTGTAGTTAGGCAAAGCTCTCTTCCTTCTCCTCTTGTTCTGGGGACTGTAATCAAATCAGAACCTTTGCTTCTGTAAAAGGCATGTCATACTTCCCTATGGTTCCCTTCACTGTCCCTGAAATTTCCCAAACATCCTTTTCTGGCCACCATTCCCTTCTCTGTGTTATCTCCTCCCATCAAGATATAAAGTACTTTAGGGCAGGTACTGCCTTGTTTTTTACCTGCCCCACACTCCCTCTCCCCCCACCCCAGCTTAGTACATCATTTGGCACATATTAACCATAATATGTCTAATAAATGCTTTTCATTCACTCACTCATGTATAGTGTTGTCAAATACAGACCCAGAAACCTTGGCCTCTGCCTGTGCCTAACTGTGTAAGACTGGATTGGATTGTGATTTTTCTTATGTATTTGTGAAGTGGATTTAAAAGTCCAAATTGCAAATTGATCATGTTTTCCCTCAGGTTTAAGGGGTACAGGAAAGTCACATTAGAGCAGGCCTGCACAACCAGCAGCCCGCTTGTGGCACACCAAAAGATTTCAGGCAGCCACAAAGAATGTAGAGGATTTTTTCCTCTTCATTTTTTGTGGGCCTCCAGCCCTGTGGTAGAGCATCTTTAAGAGTTATGGGGAAACATACCCTTTGACCCAGCCATACTGCTACTAGATCTATACTCCCAAGAGGTGAAAGGAAAAGGACTTATATGTACAAAAATATTTCTAGCAGCTCTTTCTGTGGTGGCAAAGAATTGGAAGCTGAGGAGATGCCCATCCATTGGGGAATGGCTGAATAAGTTGTGGTATATGAATGTGATGGAATACGATTGTGCTATAAGAAATGATGAGGGGGATGGTTTCAGAAAAACCTGGGAAAACTTATCTGGACTGATGCAAAGGTAAGTGAGCAAAACCAGGAGAACATTGTACACAGTCACAGCAGCATTGTATGATGATCAACTGTGAATGACTTAGCTACTCTGATTGACACAGTGATTCACCACAATTCCAAAGGACTCATGATGAACCATACTGCCCACCTCCAGAGAGGGAACTGACAGGCTTGGAAGTCAGATCAAGGCATATTTTCTTTTGTTTTCTTTATTTTTCTTGCAATATAGACTAATATGTAAATATGTTTTGCATGACTCCATCTATTTGATGGGTGTCACATTTCTCACCTTCTGAATGGGTAGGGGAGGGACTGGAGGGAGAGAGAGAATTTGGGACTGACAAGAAAAATATAAAAAAGTAGTGATAGGGAAATAACTTCTTGCTTTTCCCCCTCATATAAGGGAAGATTATTTATAGCTCTAATGCTGGAACTGGCACCGTTACTCTAGAGACCCTGCCCAGAAGAGTGAAAGTCAGTGCAAGGAGAGGGTGGCTTATACTGGACCCCACATCACCTTGGACCACTAAGATAATGCCCAGGCAGCCTCTGGGACACTGGTGCACAGGTGCCCTGACTTAATTGTGCTTTAGGACATATTTCCTCTTATTGGCACTCCCTTTTCCTCTTGTGTCCTCCCCTAGCCCATGCCAGGTGCCAGAAAACTGAGTCAAAGAGAACAGCATGACTGTGAGGTAATCCGCAAACTGATCCAGTCCTACTTCCTTATCGTTCGGAAGAACATCCAGGACAGGTAGGTAGGAGTGTGTGTGTGTGTGTGTGTGTGTGTGTGTGTGTAGGGGCTGCTACAGCAGAGCTGCTCCCTTGACCCAACAACCTCATCATGATTAAAGGTGGGAAGCAATCAGACATTGATGGATCTCTAGTGGTTTATTTTCTGAAGCATGTAGAATTATGTTTAGCTTCATGGCATCCTTGTAAGAAAAACAAGGGAAGAACTGTCCTTCCTCCATTTCACAAAAGAAGAAACTGAGGCTCAGAGAAGGCAAATTGTCCATAGGGAGCCAGGACTGGAACCCAGGTTACCTGACTCACTAGGACTATTTCAATTAGAAAAACCCAGGGAGGAGAATTCTTTCTAGGGTTCCTGTGGGCCATTTGTCCCCTGCTTTAGAGTATCCCCCATCCCTGTAAGACCTACTCCCAGCCAATGCCTGTCTGGTCTCTGTCCCCCAACCCAGTGTCCCCAAAACAGTCATGCACTTCCTGGTGAACTATGTCAAGGACCACCTTCAGAGTGAGCTGGTGGGAAAGTCATACAAGACCCAGCTACTGGATGGGCTGCTGACTGAGTCTGAAGACATGGCCCAACGGCGAAATGAGGCAGCTTCCACGCTCAAGGTAACCAGCTACTGATATTATGTGAGACCTCTCCCCACCCCCTATGCTTAGGGAGTGTCTGGGGCTGTTAGTGATGCTGCCATGGCCCAATGATTTTCTTTTCTTTCTTAGGCCCTACAGAAGGCCAACCAGACCATCTCTGAAATCCGAGGGACTCAGCTTTGGTGAGTGGTGTTCACCATGCCCGCTGCCCTGAGTCTACTGTAACCTTAGGGGTAGTGCTGCCAGCTTGTTTTTGCCGACCTCGTTCCAGACCCTGTTGCCTCTCTTGTCTGCACATTCTCATCATGATCCAGTTCAACAGACCTTCTTGCAATGGCCCATTTGACACCAAGAATCAAACTCCCAAGGATTGTTCTGGGGGTAGGGACTAGAAAATGAACATGGCTACTTGAGGGAGTCAGCAGAGAAGAATCATCAACATAGCCATCTTTTCCCTCCACCACCCCACCCTCATTCTGGGTATGGCTCCTTGTATCTACCCACATGGTATGGCCTGGTGTAATGAGCATGTCCATCTCTCCTCTCTAATTTTCTTGGTAGCATGGAGAGTGGACAGGGTTAGGAGTGCAAATTTGGCCCATTGAGCTGTGAGTGATTTCTCTGTGTCTCTCTTCCCTCCTTCCCCTTTTTGCTGAGATGAGGAAATCTTGGAAGCAAGCAGGGTGGGCAGCAAACAGCAGGCAAACTCTAGCCTTAGGTGAAGGAGTGGGGAGTGCCACCATGGACTAGGCCAAGCACCAGGATACCACCACCATTTCCTCAACACCAGGCCCAGGGTCCCCAGAACATGAAGCAAGAGCAGTCTAAGAGTTTTTTGATTGAGGTCTCTGTAGTTTTCACCCAATAAAAATATTCGAGCACTAAGTGAATTCTTCTTTGTTGCCATGGGTTTGGAGGGATGGAGTGGCAATGAAGGGAAGTGATGGCAGTCACAGGTCTAACCTTATATCTCATTTCTCTCTTCATTCTTCCTTAACCCAGGGATTCTGAATCTTGGTTGTATCATGGACTGTGCTTGGCAGTCTGCCCAAATCTCTGGACCCCTTCTTGGAATAATGTTTTAAAATGTATAAAATGAAAATACATAGGATTGCAAAGGAAACCAATTATAGAAAAATATTTGCTAGAATAAGTTTACCGATTCCAGGTTCTGAACCCCTGCTCTAACTAGAGTTTTAGTTTGTCATGCAGACACATCGGTTCCTCCCACTTCTACTTCCTCCAACTCCCACTTTGGCAGGCATATATTAGAGTGGCTTCTATGGGCAGAGCTTCCTCTAACCTTTTCATAAATATGTGTCCCTAAGCCTGGGCTCGAGATTGTAGAGAATGCAGAAATAGAAGATTGATCTCTCTGTTTCCAATTTCTCATAGTTGGAAGGGGGAAGACCTAATCGAGGACTCCAACCCAGTCAATATTGATTAAGTGCCTGTGCCCCAGGCAGGTAAGGCTAAGTGCTGGGGAATACAATTAATACAAAAGAAAGACAGCCCCTGCCCTCAACTAGCTTACCATCTAAGGGGGAAACAACATAAAAGGAAGTAGGAAAGGGGGTGAAATGTGGAGGGACAGGATGATACAGGGGCATCTTGTTCCGTGGAGTTAAAACTAGGCTGGGCAGCAGATGCAAAGGGGGAGTGAGGATTGGAGAGTCCAGTTTCTGCCTTCTATAAAGATAAGGTGCTCCCTTGTATGAAGATGCTTCCCAGAGCTTGAGGAATTGAAAGGCCAATACCTGAGATGTGGGTGTATGTAAGACTGGATGCTGGGGTTGCTGCCCTGCTCGCTGACAGAGACCTTGCCTGGGCCACCCTGGCATGTCAAGTCAAGAAGCATTTATGAAACATCTACTATGTGCCAGGCCCTGATACTATGGTACCAGAAGAACACGTGTACACAATTGGCATGCTTGTTCTTGTGATATCATGTAGATCCAGCCCTTTCTTGGTGGAGGGTGGACCAGAAACCAAACCTCTGATAAAAAGCAACCCATATGTTTAATAGGAATATATATGTAGAGCCTGTATCAGATTGCACGCCATCTTGGAGAAGGAGGTGGAGAGGGAGGGGGAGAAAACTTAAAACTCAAAAGCTTATAAAAATGGATATTGAAAACTAAGCATAAATTGATTAATTTAAAAAAAGCAGCCCCTACGGAAATGTTAAGACTGAAATTTGACATATTGTCATTTCAAATTACAGTGTAATATAATTATTAATAAATTCAGATAGAATTTTTTAAATGTTGATATACATGAAAACTACAAAGCAATCTGTGGAATAGCAGTTTAGTCAAAGATGGCATAAGTAAAATAGAATATCAAAAGGATAATAGAGATTCTCCACTGAAGTCCTCCTCCTATACCTCATCAGGGCCTAGAGATGACCCTGGCAGGTCCCACCAAACTGGAAAAAATATTAAGACTAGAGCCAGTAAACTTTGTCTACTGTCTGAGGCCCATTCTAGCTTATCCCCAAGGCCCAATTCCAGATAGACCTCAGGGGAGTGAATTTTTGGTTGGTCACAGTGAAGAGGTCTGGAGGTTTGGGGTGCTGGAACCCCAAGATCGCAATGTGGGCCCTGCCCGAATGAATTCGACTCAAATCTTCTTCCAGCCAGAGAAAAAGTTTATTAGAGATAAATCATATAGGCCAGGTGACACCCGTAAGGACAAGCAGGCGTGAGAAAAGCTCAGCCTTTTCTGGCATGAGAGATTCTCAGCATTTGAATGGGGGCCAGGGTGGATCTTATATACACTAAAGTAACTTTGGGTGGCCAGAGAAGGGGACTGGGAAAAGAGTCTAGGTGAGAATTCCAATTGGAAGGTCCAAGAGATTTGAATAGACAATGGAAATAGATAATGAAGGGAACTGGAGGGAAGAAGTTTGAAAGGCATCTGAATAAGATCAAAAGGTTGGGCTAGGGCTTTCAAAGGGAGATAAAGATGTGTTTGGGCCCACACCCCATCAACAGTGACTCCGGAAGATCAAGGTGACCTGTCACACATGTACATAGATGTACCAATGTATATTGGTACAATTAGGACTCACATGAAATCCCAGGTCTTGGAAGGATTGAAGTCTTACATATCCAAACCTTTCCAGTGATGCCACGTTGGTGCCCAGAGGTAAATTTCTAGTTCTAAATACCTAAGTTATATTTTAGTCCTCTACCTCATCTGTGAGCTCAGTGATGTGAGTCTTCCTCCCAACAATGAGGATCACAGACCAGTCTGGACATCTCTTGGACATGATTTCTGGTGAGTTTACCACAGGATTCAACCTAAGAATACCTGTGTTAAGAAGAGTAGTAAGAAAATAAAGTCTGTATGTAATCCCAGCTGAGTCTGCTAAGTGGCCAGCCCAAATAGGAGAGTACCTAACTTAGAAACCACATGAACTTGAACCTTTCAACACCAAGTGAAAGGTTTTTCCCATGACAAACAGGTCAGATTAATTAACGGGCACTTATTAAATACCTACTGTGTTAAATGAGAAGGAAAAGAATTCTTTATATAATAAGCAACATGCACTCAAATCCAAATCTAACGTTCCATGTATAAGAGAAAGTCACAAATGAGTATAATCAGGTCCTCTCAGACTCAAGTGCATGAAACCACTCAAGCCACCAGATGACATACTGACCAGACACATGTCTAGATGGAGACAAGGAGCAGCATCCTGAGAAGCTAAATACCACTGTGCCTTTGTACATCTTTGAGCAAAATAAACCTCCTTTTGGCCAATGTCTCACAAGGGCTTGCAATAACATACTAGAAAAGGAAATTAAAGGTGTATTGATTGCTATCAGAGAAGGTAATATGTGGGGTTTTTTTTTTTGCATAGTACATCTAGGAATCTTAAAGGATCCCATAAATCAACAAGCATTTATTAAGGGCCTTTAAAGTGCCCTGTATTGTACAAAGTGCTAGGAGTACAGAGGCAAGATCAAAACAGGCCTTGCTTACCTTCCGTCATGGGAGACAATATGTGTCCAATCTCTGGAGCTACTCTCCACTCCCCCACTCACACTGGCAGGTCAAGTCTCCACAACTCAGCCACTTGTCCCCTCAGTCTAAGGGTAGACCTGAGAGATTGGGGAGGGGGAGATACCTTTCTAATGTTATCATTCAGCCCCTAGGGAGTGTGCTTACTGCCATGATTATGGGTTGATTGTCAGGTAGACTTAGCTAATTAGCTTTTAGAAAGGCATTTTACTAAAGTAGACTGGTAAGAACAGTTGGTATAAAATATCCCCCCAAATGTCTGTGGCATTCTACCAATTCATAGAGAGCCTGGGGAAAGTAGATGCAAGCTTAACATACATATGGAAAAGGGGATAGCAGCTCGTGAAAGTCCATAAGAAGGTCTCCTTAAGTATAGTACCACTTTTTTGCTGAGCTCTCTTGACTCTTGAATCTCTGTCCAACCTATCCTTGGCTCCCAATATATTCATCCGCTGATCTGGGAACACTACTGGAAGATGGGCAGTCCTTTTTTGGTTAAAGGCAGGGAATCTTGAGGTCTGAGGCTGGGCTCCTCTCCCCCTCACCCAATCAATCCCCGTGCTTGAATCTCTGGTTCTCAACTACTCACGTGGCATTTGTGTAGGCTGTTAGTAAGTTTCCTCAGCCAATCCAAGCATACTTCCTAGGCAAGTTCCTCCAGTTAACAAGGCCATTTTTTTTTAGTGTAGTCCAAAGCCTATGATTGATTGAATGAGATGTCTTGTTAAGGGATCAGGACATAGCATTTTATCAGTTAATTTTAATTTTTAATTTTTTTTTTTAAGGCAATTGGGGTTAAGTGACCAGGGTCACACAGCTAGTGTCACGCGTTTGGTCTGAGGCCGGATTTGAACTCAGGTACTCCTGACTTCGGGGCTGGTGCTCTATCCACTGCACCATCTAGCTGCCCCTATCAGTTAATTTTAAAAGGATGGTTTAATTTGATTTATATTCCTCCGTGCATACACATCCTTACAAGTAAATACAAAATATATTTATAACTCAGGTGTAGACTGAGTATGCACTTACACATATCCTATGAGACTCTTGGAACACTGCAGTAGTGTAAGCAGCCCACGCGGGTGTTTATGCTGCCTTCTACAAGTCTACAGAAAAACAGGTTGTCAACTTAATCAGCAAGGGAGCACTGTATAATGTATAATTTATCCACCAGATGGCACTATACTCTAGACACTAACCCAATGGTCTAGCTCATTTGTTGTGGCCTGACTCCAAAGGGTGTATGATCAACAACTAGCCAATCATGGTGATGGGTTGATGGGACCTGGACCCCAAAAGGCAAAGACCATGTCTCTGGAAGCAACACAGTATCTCAGTGGGCACCTGTGGGAAATTCTTTTCTTGTTGCAGGCACATACAGACCTGACCCTGTAATTCCTCAGATAAATGCTATTGGTGCAGGTTCAGGGATGCTGGCCCAAGGACTCTTTCCCTGGTACCTGATCCTCCAAGGACCATGCTTCTGGCAACCCTTTGTGCTATAAACAGAACTGTCTTGTCCCTTCAACAAAACTATCTCTGTTGACTCTGAATTTTCCCTAACATTCCAGCAGCCCAGACCACTGGCACCTGCACCCAAGGCACCTGGATTTCTTATATATCCCTTTGAAAACTGACCACTCCTTAATCCTACCCCCCACCTAATTGGCATACTTGGCACACCGTTCCCTGAACTTCTGATTATAAGCTTTAGCATCATCCTCATTAATTTGC